TAAGACTACACCTAACTAGTCCTGTCCTAGGGGTCAGGATCCTCCTGCAATTGTATCTTAGTTGTTCATGAACCAAATGACATGAATTAATTATTACATGCTGTCAGTCAATTCCGTTAGTCTTTTGCTTCAAATGTGTTTGGGAAAAGCATTAGTCTTGGGAAACTTGGGTTCTTGGATACCGTCAAGGAATTTTGTTCCTTTCTGTCCTTTGTAATTTCTTTGTGAGGGGAAGAAGGAGGGGGAAAGTTTGCAAAGACAGTGAAAGTTGTCTGTACACATGGATTGGTGGATGAGCTGTATTGGGAAAGGAACACCTTTCCAGCCTCTTCTAAACCACATGTTGAATCTAAATGTTTCTGTCACAACACTTCAGATGATAAATTTGCACTTGAGTAGTGGAAAAAAAAAAAAAGAAAAAAAAGGAAAAAAAAAGATGCAACTGTGGTGATCCTGCAGGAGTTGTAAAGAAGCAGAAGGGAACAAAGACCTAGTGCTGCAAGCCATGGGCTAAACTGCCCTCCCAGAACGTGATAGAAAATCTATTTGTGAAAGAGAGGAAGGAAGCAAAATGCCATCAGCACATACCAGCTGCTGTGAAAAGAACAGGGTTTGCAAAGAGCAACTATTGTAGTGCCTGATACAGGAGATTGCTTGGGTAGCATAGTGGTACAAGTAAAGAGCAGTAAATGACGGATGATGACATGAAAAAGGACGTTGGACAATGTGACACCACTGAAAACCCAGAACAGCTTAACCAAGAAAGAATTGTGTTGGGACCAACATGAGCCTTGCTTTGAGGAGGTGCCACCTCTTCTGCACAGGGCCACGGGGGACAGGGGAGGAGGGGCCCTGGTGTCCTGTGGGCCACTGTGCTACTGTGACTCAGGGAGCCTGTCAGAGGCCACCAAGTGAGGTCCCTGAGGCCTGGAAGGAGGGTTGGGTTCAGTCCAAGGTGCACCATTGCTCTATTTACTAGTATGAAGGACAAAGTTTATCACTGCTTTTGCCAGCTCTTGCTTACCTTTTTCAAGAAAGAGCTCTCCCATTCTGTTGGAAGAATCACAGGCAGGTTGTGAATTGGAGCCGTCCAGCAGGTGGCCATGGAGAAGTTCTTACCCTTCTCAGACATCTGCCCAGAAGATCACTGGAGGCAGAGAAAAAAAAAAAAAAAAAAAAAAAGAAGCTGTGGAGGCCCCATTGCTGGGGGTGTTCAAGGGCACGTTGGTTTGGGTTTTGAGCAACCTGATGTAGTGGGTGGTGTTCCTGCCCATGCAGGGGGAGCTGGAACTAGGTGATCTTTAAAGTCCCTTCCAACCCTAAGCATTTTATGTTTTCAGGTGCACTGAAGGTGCCACTATGGCTGTGCCTCCTGCTGATCCTGGTGCTTTGAGCAAGTGTGTTCACTCATCTGCTTTCTTGCAACCCCACAAGGGAAAGACGAGTTGTGAGACCAACAAGAGTGCACTCCATCTAAGTACATTATGAGAAATACTTTATTTTAACCCTTTTGTATTTAGTTTACCCTAACCAAAATAACCTTGGCATTTATCCCCCGAGTTGTTACTCTGGATTCTTCAGTTTCTTGAAATGCAGTGCAGAAACCAGAGGTTCATACTTTGTCTTCAGACACAAACTGTGAAGGTCAGTTGCCATGTGGACAACTCCACATCTATCTGTGTCTTTTAAATTATACTCATCTCTCTTCTTTATTGCCAGTTTTAGTCTGTCTCCATTTTTGTCATATGGGTCTGGACTAGTTGCCAAAGGGCCAGACAGAATTATTATGTTGACTTTGTTAAGACTTCTTCTGACACCTGTAATTGTAGCATTTATTCCCAGCTAGGGAGCAAGATACTGAGGCCTGACACAAATGCCAAAATATGACAAGGGCACTTAGTGCAAGAACTATGGTACTGACAGCTTTACAGACAACTTAAAAACTTTCTCTTCTGATGTCTTAAAGGACCAAGCAACAAAGGATCTCATTTCTAAATAGGCACTTTTCTCAGACAACCCCTGATACACATTATATTTATGTATACATTAGGAAGAACTGAAAAGACTGTAAATAAATCTGGTTGCAAATAATCAGGTTCTTAGTCTATCTTCTCAAGCTGAAGCCAAACTTACTCACTAACCCAAATGGCCAATTTTTTTTCTATTTTACCACAAGCCTGAAAAAGAATTTCACATACCTGCACTGTTGAAAAACATAATTATGTGAGGTCAGCATCTTTTCCTTCCAAGGAAGTTTCTAGTCTGACAGTTGCCTTCTTCAGTGCCAACAAGGCTCTAAATCAAGACAAAAGTAAACCTAATAGCTGGCATATCTTTGCTGTACCTATACATTTTAGTAAAAAAGGTTTTTTAACATCTTGTCTTAGGAAGTGCTCTTTTCTCTAGCAGCAAAGCCCACTCAAAACAAGTCACAGCTGGATTTGTAAGGAAGCAAAGCTGGGATGCAGTTAGAAGAAAAACCTAGCTTCAGTTCTGTTGTTCACATGGAGGATTACAAAGGCTTTCAGGCAGCTTGGTATCACAGAAAGTCATCAAGGAAGGGCAAAACCAGTATTACATTTCTAGCTTAAACTGTGAATTTTTAGTTTTGCTTTGTAAAAAGTAAAGAATGGTTTTATTTTTATTGAGGTATTGTATGATGGTCTTAAGACGAATAATCTTACTATGAGATTATAAATGTACATAGCCTGCAGAATTTCCAATGTGCTCTGACAAACATCCTCTGGCTGGCATTTGTGACAAAACTCTTCCAGAGGTGGTTTTCAGTAACCGTTGTGGTATGACATATGCATATATAAACTGGACATAACCAATGCCAGGTAAATGTGTGATGTAATGGTATCAGCCAGCACTGCAGCAGGTTGCAATGAAACAAGGAAGGCCTCAGACATTGATTTATTTTTTTTTTTACTGGGTTCTAAACCAATTAAGTTGGTTTGTAAACTTCTTCTCAAAAGAGTTAGGGCACATGTAATGCTAAGAACTGGAAGAGTCATAAGCGTAAGTCGTAAGCCATTTGAGTTATTAAGTTATTGAGTCTATTGATTTTGTTATGATTGTTAATGATTGTGCAATTGAGAAAAATAGGGTGGCTAAAGTCCAGTAAAGTATCACTAAAGGTACATTATATATTTGTGGCACTGTATGAGGGAATATTATATTAACTTTAGAACAGTCCAAATGTAATATTAAATGAACTTGTACTAAGGGCTGATAACAGAGCATCAGTGTATGCTCAATGTAGGGATAATTAACTAGTGAATTAAAAAGCTCATAACGTCTGAAAGTTAACAACAGAAAAAAAAACTTAAGAAAATGGTCAAATATAGGAAGTTAAAGCTTGAATTTTTTTTAGTTGGTGCTGTTTGACAGATGGATATGGCTGAGTCTGGTTATAAACACACAGGGTTATGCTTGCTATCTGCCACATTATGCTAAGGAAGAAACCCAGTTGGAAATTTGGTCATCAGTTGAGCTTCTGAGTTTGGGTAAACCTACATGAATCTGTTTCCCAGCAGCTATAACACTGTCATTAGTTAGCACAGCAGCATGGCAAACATTGGGAGGAGCAGACAGTATTGCTATTCTGTGTGATGTTGATCTATTTAGAAGATACCAATATTGAAGCCTTTATCTTCAGTCATTTGTCAAGGATGTGTCTCTCCACAATCCATATTCTTACATGCCTTTGGGCTAGATCTCCTTCTCATCACTGATACACATTATTGTTTTACCTTCTTATCTACACAAACGCATCCAGAATGAAAACAGTGAGTTTGTCTACACTTAAAATATCACTTTATTGAAGTCTTAGTTGGAAATCCAAGCAAAGGAAGATAAAAAAACTCCCTGTCCAATTCTAAAATCTTGGAAGACTCAGAGTTCGAGTGCATAGAACTATTATCCAGCATTAAACTCTTCATTATGAGCCATTATTCTCCCGTGTCAAAAGTATATGCCATAAGTGATGGCTCTGCTATTTTTCATTGGCTTAATTTCAAAACATGTATCTGTTCTTATCAAAGACCTTAATGGAGGCCCCGAGAGGCTGTGTCCTGTAAGACAATCCCAAAGCTGCAAGATACTCTCAAGAACACCCAATAATTCAGGTGTAAACTGGCTACACCAGTGTCATCCAATACTCAATGAGTCGAGGTGGAAGCTTTGATGATTGGCTATCTGTTGTCTTCTACAACAATGGTTCTTCTAGGATAGGTGTCAACGTCCACAATTATGTAGCGGACCTCAAATCTTCCTGTCTCAGGATTCTGTAAGGAAAACAATTTCAGGCTTTTTTTTCCCTTTGGTAGTTTAAGTTCAAGATTAAGCCTGGCAGCTGAATCAAGCAATTTTGTACATACCTCTTTGACTTCCATGTGGACTGTTCCCCGTTTCCCTGATTCAGTGCCTTCAATATAGAATTTCAAACGCATATGTTTCAGTCCATCCTTTACGTATTCAACGTGACTAAAGCCAGCAAAACAAACAAAAAAAATACATGCATGCATCAAAAATATGTATTATATGTTAGTTAAACTTAAAATTTAAACTTCTTATTTAGAGAAGCTGCTTAAATATTTTGAGAGAAAGTGTATTCCAAGGTAGTCCTTATGCTACCATGGCTTCCTTCTCTAGTGCTCTTCCCAAGCTTTACTGTGAGCGTACAAGGAGAGTTAGAAGAACTAATTAGCAGTTGAGGATTGACAGATGAAGTGCTTAAACATCTTTACCTCACTCCCCCCCTCAAAACTCAACAGCAAGCCAATGGCAGAAGATTCTGGGATTTCTTTGTATTTGTTCTAAAGGACTCAAGAGTATAACACCTAGAAAGGATCACCCACATCACCAAGACTGCCAAGGGGTTTTTTTAGGCACTTAAACAACGTTACCAAGCCAAACCACACTAAATGAGGAACATTATATCAACTCATCAGGTTGGTTAAATCACATCAAAACAATGTTTACAATTTGCTTTACTTATTTTGGCAAGAATTTTTTTCTACTGAATTGTGTAACTTTGGCACCGACATTAGACCTCCAACCCAAGTGATGTAAATTATACTACTATTTTATGCTGAAGTATTAGATAAATAGAAAGGTCACAGCACTTTCAAGGCACTCCTAGAAACTAATGGTCAAACTAAAGTTCTGGTGCCAGTTTGTGTTTCCTACTAAAATTACTACCTGCTGCATATTACCATGCTCTTATTTCTATCAGTCATGCCCAGATACACACTGTGAATTAAACTTCCACTACAGTTTAAAGTAACATAATGGGTTCCAGAGATCAAAGACAAATGAAGAGCCTTACTGCAGTAAATTCACATTCAAATGTTCATACACACAAAAAATGTGTACATTTTTAAGACATTTAAGGTCTTCCTTATACTGCAGACAGAAACGCTACGATCTTACAAAGTCCTCGGCTTAAAAATTTATTTAAAGTGTTAGACTTTCAAAATTATGGAAATAAAATACTAGGAAAGCTGATAGTACATTTTCTTATTTACACACTTTGTTTTACAGATAGATGCTTAAAATGTTAACAGTTAAACGTTAAAATAGTTAGTAGTTAATGCTAAAATGTTAAAAAGATGCATCTTTTCTTTTTAGCAGCTTCTACTTTAAACTCTTTTTCAATGAGTCTGTGAATCACCTTCCTCTGAAAAAAAAAAAATTAAAAATCTCAATTTCATGGTTAAATTTGTGTATCTGGGCTTATGTATCCCAATTTTATATGAAACCTCCTTGAATAAATTCAAATAACCCAGTAAAGCTAAAGCCCCTAATGGATTACAGTCTAATGGAGGATTTACATTTTGTAAATGAGTTGTACTTTTTCCCTCAAAAGGAGAATACACACACTCACGTAAGGTTTAGGTGAGAGATATTCTATTAAATACACAGTAGAGATGTGGCCTCAAGTACCAAAAAGCAATATAAGAAAGGGGCAATCAGCTTGGGACAATATAGTCATTGCAGTGGCTACAATCTGTACAGTCAGCTCCAGCCTAGGTTTAAACAGAGCAAACTGAATTCTTCAAAGCCTGAAAGGTAGTACCTCCTTTCTGGCCTGATAAGGACTACTGCTTCAAAAGGAGAAAATCTCTCAAAGAACAATTTTGCTTTATTTGAGGGTTTCAGACTGTAAACTTCAGTCAGATACCTGCCCCACAAAAGCATGCCTAGGCTTCTGTACTGCTCTCTTCAGACTCTGTCCTATTTAGTGGAGAGACCAGCTCTATGTTTCCTGAGCTGATCGTTGCTTATTTCTGAGACAATCAGAATTGGGATTTTATTTGGTATGGGCACTGTATTTAGCGACATGCGCCACACAAGAGGTACTGCAAAAAACTTAAAATTTTCATTCAAAAGTTGCAGGGTATGTCACATACAGTTCATTAATCTAGATCTAACTTGCTATGATGTGACCCAAAATGTCTTTGCTGTGCAAAAACTTGTGTCTGTATGGCACAAATACCAAAGGGCACCTGACAAACTGTCGTCTTCCTCTTCTTGTGGCCTCTCCATAACCTTTAATAGATTCACCAAAAACAGCAATGATCTACAAGAGAAAAAAGGTTTGAGTTGTCAGAAAGTATCAGCTCACATCCCTGCTATGAATGCGTTTTCTTTCAATGAAATGCCCCTTCTGATTTGGTTGTCAAGAATAGAAGAGTTTATGAAAGAGAACAGTGCAAGGAAAATTACTCTCTATTTCAGTGCTTTACTTCAGAGTCACATATTAAATTACTAAAATAAATCCTACTGATATCTTCCATTTGTACCATCCTTTGAGATTATGAAATTTTAATCTCTTTTCTGTGTATTTTATACTTCACAGATATTTTGTGTGAAAAGGGAAAAAAAAAATGGAATATTTACTCATGTGTCCTCCAAGAGACTCTGTTTCACAGTTTTTGTGTTATCTAAAAACCGTTACTGTTTAAGAAATTATTTTTTTTTTTCCCCAGATCTATAAAGCCAGACTAAATTAACCTAGTTTTAAACTTGCTTTAAAGTTGGCTAGAAAGGGAGGGTGATTTTTACTGTAGAAGTACTGGAGGTAAGTCTTAGTTCTACAAACTTGTTTCAGAGCAGTCTTAATTTTTATTCTAGCAACTTGTCACTTCCTTTCTAGGTTTTCAGTGGCATCTGTGGGAACCCTGTTTGAAAACTATTCCATGCATTGATTTTTTTTGCCTGAAGTAGTGGGTTTTAGAATCTAGTTTTAGACTGATTTTTGTTTATCTCTAGCTATCTTATGTGACTGTGTGACCACATGACTGTTCTTTTTCTGTAGCCACAGGAATGCTAACTGTGTTTCAAATGAAAAGTTTACATTCCTAGATACTTATGACTCTGCAGAATGACAGAACCCTACTGAAGTGCCACAACAGAATATGTAACTGTGCTGAGGAAAGGCAGCAGGTTAGAGCTACAAAATGTAAAATTAATGTTGCCTCCCTGATCTGCTGAACTTCTTAAGTACTACACTTAGTAGATGCTCAGGTAAGTGTAAGACTTTCTGCATGGAGACAGATGCACGTGCTCTAAAGGGGCAGTGTTGTGCCCTGGTACACTCACTTAACTTGGCTTTTAGCAGGCTGATTCACTCAGGCTCAGTGCTTGCATTAACTTGGTCTAATACAGGCTCCAAATTGGAGCTGACCCACCTCTGGCCAGAGCACAGAAAGATCCACCGGTGTTTGCCTGCTGAGCACCACAGGGGTCTTTCTGTAGCTTTGCTTGTGAGATACACTGTGCAAACTTTTGACTCAAAGAGAGTAACTATTGAGACATAAACTTAGTACTAAGGTCCAAAATCCAACCTCAGGATGAGATCTGCACTTCTCCAAGGCATCTCCATAGATTTTACTTGGACTAGAAGAAGAGAATAGCTCTTTAAAAATCACATAGAACAAACCACCTGTAACAGAAACAGTAAATGGAATTAAAAGTGATCAAGTCAGATGGAATTAATGAATAACATATTCTGATAAAGATAGAATTTAAAAAAAAATAACCTGTAACACCAATTCCAACAAGAACCACAATAAAGTAGGTAAAGTCTCTTCCAGCTTCTTTCACTGAAATAGAGAGAAAACAATGCAGGAATTACAACCTTGACTAGTAACTTACAGATAGTTGCATAGCTTTCTTATATAAATGCTCTTGTACTACTCTGCAGCTCAAACAGCATTTTGGCAGAAGAAAAAAATTCAGTAACAGCTTCCACAATTGCCTCTTTGCTAAAAGAAAGAGACCACAGAATGTCTCTTATGTTGTGCAGGGTGTATTTATACCTCAGTATTAACCCTCCTTATTTTCTGTTTTCCTACCAGGTGCTTTCAAGTCCCAGAATAAAGCTTTTAATTACTTTTCACATAACTAATGACATATTTAGCAATGCAGTGCTTAAGCTGCCATATAAACTCCCAATCATTGCAATCCTTATGCAGAGGAGAGTAGAAATAAAAAAGTATAATCTTATATATTGCACACACTAATAAAAAATAGATGAATTCATGAATTTTCAATCAAGTGAACAATAAAAAGGAGGGATATTAGACCAAAATATGCAATTTGTTTATTGAGACCATCAACTGCAGATTAGCAGGTAAGTTTTTATCCATTAGTTTTGATCTGATGGAAGTGTGTCAGTATATACTTCAAAAAAAGGTCGTATGATATTCTGTTACAGGATATTTCTGAGAACTCAGACTGCTGATCTGCTTAAGTGATAAGGTGCACCTTTCAGCGAAGTATGAGCTCCTGAGGAAACTTTAATAACTATTTTTCCTTCAGCCTTCTAATCAGTTGAGGTTGTTCCTCATAAACCTTCTCAAAGCACTTAGAACTTCTGAGGCCAATCATGCAGTAAATCACTTCCCAGTGGAGACCAACCAAGGTGGCAGCTGTCCTCTGAAGAACTTAGTGCCACATGTAAAGCTTTAATTCTGCTGGAAGTAAACTTGTTTTAACAGCATTGAGACACGTTGTGTGTGCCGGGTTTTCCTTCTGAAAAGGGAAACGTGAGGCCAGGGCTCCTATCTCTGATGTGTCTTCAACACTATCAACAAGCTGTTTGGAGGAAGCCACAGAAGTTTGGTTCTGCTTGTGCAAGACATACGTTGAGATGTATCAACCGCTGCGAGCACCACGATGGGTAAAGAAACGGGCTTGTGGGTTTTCTGAGAACTGGGAGGTTTCTTCAGCCCCCGAGTTTCCAGGCTCTAAAACCCCCGCTGCCGCACCCATCTCCGTGCCCACCTCTCCGAGTATCGCCCGGCATATATCCCACCCAGGAGCGACTACATCCCGCCTTCCCTTTCTGAGCAGCCGACAGCAGAGTTTCTTCTTTCCGATCGCCCCGCGCGGACACCTGTTTGCTACCACCGCCAGCTTTCCCAGCTCCGAGCCCCCCCGCCCGCGTCCCGATCCCCTGCCGCGCGGCCCGGAGGAGCGCAGCGGGCTCCCTGCGGCCCGGGGGCTGGTGCCGCCCCCTCCGGCACGGGCAGGGTCCCGGCCCCGGCCCCAGCAGCGCCCAGCCGGGGGAAACGAGCAGCCAGCCCCGCAGGGAGGCCCGCAGCCCGCCGCGCTGCCCCGCCCGCCCCAGGGAACCGGGCAGCATGTCGGGGCGCGGCTCCCGCCGGAGTTCCTGCCGCTCCCCACCGACCCCTTCCCCCCTCGGGGAAGCCTCAAGACACCCTCCGGCCCGGAGCGCGGCTCTGCGGCTGCCCAAAGGTCCCCATTCGCCTTTGCCCGCCGACGGCAGCTGGGAGCCGCGGCCCCGGCGGAAACGGGGCGGGCAGAGGCGGCAGCGGCAGGCGGGGGGGGGGCGGGCCGGGGGGGGGGGGGGCTCCTGGCGGCGTCACCCTTTTCCATCTGGGTTTTGTTCTGCTTGTTTGTTTTCAAATTGCGGGGTGTTTTGTTTGTTTTTGGTTTGTTTTTGTTTGTTCTTGCACAAGCGATTTTCAGGACACCCGACAAGACCGCCCTGGCTTTCTGGAAGGTGTTGTTCCAAAGACAGCTTGGTTGGAGCTTCGCGCCAACCGGTCTGGTGGAAGATGCCCCTGCTTATGGCAGTGGGGTTGGAATTAGATGAGCTTTCAGGTCCCGGTGTCCCGAAGAGTGGGGTCCATCACCCGGCGTGCAAGAAGCCAACCTGTTAGAAATGAAATGTAGTGTTGATTTTGCATTCTAGTGTTAGGAACAGTGTCAGGTTTGGTTTTTATATATATATATATATGTATATATATTTTAGCTTGGAGAAAAGGAGACTGAGGGGGGACCTCATCAATGTT